GTGTGTGTGTGTGTGTGTGTGTGTGTGTGTGTGTGTATTGTGCCAATAGTTTAGGATTTTTGCTAGGGAATTAATTTTTATTTATTTATTTTTCATTTTTTTTGGGTGGTTATTTTATTGTTGAGTGTAATTTGATTACTGTACATTATATTGAATTAATTTCCTGTGTTTCAGGTGAGGCTGCCTGTCATTATATTGTTTTCCTTGAATTGCTTAGAATGGAATATGAAGGACTAGCTTTAATCAGAAATGATTTTCACAACTAAAAATGGTGGATAAATCTCTCCCATATATTAATTCAAAACGTGTTGAACGTGTTGAGCCTAAGTGGTAGATTCTCACGCTTCGGATGTTGACATGGTGAAAATCAATGCTTCGTGATGTTGTTTTTATATTATATTTGCTCTAGAGTTAGGTTTGGTATTAGACATAAATAACTTTTATCATATATTTCTTAACTGAACGTCTGTGTTGTACACGGTTATTGTACTAATTATCTTATTAAATAGAAAAGAAACAAATAGCTAGTTAGGGAATAGTTTGATATGTGAAATGATGGAAAGAAAAATAACAGAAGAAATCCAATTAATCTCTCACACATGCACTAGAAAATAAAATAATAATAATAATTAAAAAAAACATAGATGACAAATTTAATAAGTTGGCTAATCTAATTAACTTTTTTTTTATATATACTATTTTTAATAAATTAATTTTATTATTTATTATCTGATTGAAATGGAGAAAGGAAAAAAAAATATAAAGTAAAAATAAAGATCAATATCAGGAAAAACAATAATAAGGGATTAATATACCTAATCATTAAAAAAAATGTGTCATTAGGTCATTCTAGCATGAGGTACACCTTGTACATGCATAGTACATATGTGACAATGTGTACTCTAATGCTCTTTCAAATCTTTAAGAAAATAACTTATAAATATATTTTATTTAAAAAAAAAAATACATAAAACATGGAACTTCAAATTAAAGATTCATATGAAACTCAAAACGTCATATTGAAAGTGAAACAAAATGAGAGTTCACCCATCAAACTCAGATAACCAAGTCACGAAAAATCGTCGTTTGAATTCTTCGTTCTTCCGCTACGCGTTGCTGAAAATATGGTAACTGAATTCGAATTCTTCGTTCTTCCGCCACGCGTTGCTGAAAATATGGTAACTTCACTGGCGTTTCTCTGACTATTGGATGGTCGGATTGATGATAGGAACATACCGTTCGATTTTTAAAAATAGCTTTCTACACATGTATAACTGCCGAAAATCCAATGGTGGGATCTTGGGTGACATTCCAATAAAATTTAATGCACAATTCTTTTTTTTTAAAAAAAAAAAAATTGAACACTAACAATTGTAGAACGCAGTTTGAAGAATTGCATGATGAATTTTGACATGTTGTAGAGTGATCGAGTCAAGAATTTCGAATTAATTATGATTTATTAAAACTTATTATCATTGGTAGGAGGACAAAGAATGGCAGTTAACTGTAGTGGCTAGCGGCGGCGAAATTGTTAGATCTTCAATTCTTACATGTTTTAGGCAGAGTAACGAGAGAAAGGAATTAGGTGGAGGTTTGACTAAGGCGCCCTTCTTTTTGGACAGAATAAAGGGAATAAAGAGACCATAAGGAGGTTCCTTTTTCTAGCGTCAATTTTTTGGTAGTTTGTTTTGACAACAAGATTATGCAGCAATAGTATGGTATTTAGGGCGTTGTGAATTGTGTTTAAAGGAGGCGTTATAAAGTAAATAAGAACAACAAGACTATCGACGAATTGGGTGTTTGCATTGGTACACTTGTACATGATTTATTGAGTGATTTGGGTCGCTTCTGGACTTCTTATAACATTTTTGTGTCGAATGCTATTAAAATGTTCCACCCTCTCGAAGGAAAGTGATAGATTTTCTAACCTATCTTTCAATCTAATTTCTTATGATTTTTCATGTGATTCTCGATGATTTCGTTATCACCGGGGCATGGCTATTTATAGAAGGGGAAGATCAATAAACAATATTATCACTGAGACACGTGTCGAACTCTCCGGGGTCCGCTACATGCAAGGCGCCGCGTGTTATATAAACTTGCTCAAGTGGCCAATCTTTTGAGCGATGCGAACTGGTTTTAGGCTACAATCCTTTTTTACATTAGATTAGTCGAGATCGACATGAAGAAAGCTTCACTCATTTATAGCGGATGTGAGAAGATAACTCATCTACGCCGTGCTGACGCTAGTCTAATGTGTCTATGACCCAGAGTGAGATCGTCATAGAAATGAGAGCAATATAGAGGATGGCACCTACTTTCTTTGGACGTATTAAGCCAATGTAAATCATTAGTTCGCTTCATCACTGTTTAGTGGGCTTAATCCAAATCGGCACATTGTAAGTGTAACACTTCATAATGTATTTTACAATTTATTTAATTAGTTTATAAATTTCTTGCCTTCAATAAAATTTAGTTGGTTAGAATAAAGTAATGTAAATTTTTCTATTAAGATTGTTGTTTCACAGAATGAAATTTTTGCAACTCTTTCACCTTTATTTCCTAACGAGATAATTTTCTAAATAATTCTATTACCACAACAACCGCAAGTTCTTTTGTCTCGGTTTTGTTATGAATATAAGTTCTTCCTATCGTTCCGTTTAAAAGAAATGACAACCGCAGGTTCCAAGTTCGACAAAGATTTGGCTTTTCATGTAATTTAAGCCCATACCCGAGGAGCCTTTGGGCAACATATACCTAGGGGTCGTTTACTTTGCAGGATGGGATAAGACAAATTAATCAGCACCACTTTCCAT